AGCAACATGATTAGCGTTTTTGAACTGGGAACAAAACTTTTCACGGTAGAAATGAAAAATCATGGAAAAAATGTAAAAGCTTCCCAAGACATATGTCTTGCATAAAAGTCTAAAATGAAATTAGAAAGAGAACACCATACCTTGTATACTAGCCATCAAAGGGATCCAAACCTTGTATACTAGCCTCTGCCTCTCTTAAACGAGCATTAGGTTCATTTGAAATCCGCAAACTCCATTCAGAAATTAGAGACATTTTTTTTTTATGCTTCAGCCCACCAGTTCCTAAACCTCCATCTTTTTGAGACTTTGAGGTTAAACTCGAGCTTACAGGATGATTAATCTTCCACCCTCATTACCTTCCTAGAAGAAATTGTGCATTTTCCTCTCCTTATCCCAAAAAACTTCTGAAAGAATAAGAAAAAGAGACATACATTACAAAGGAAGCCTGAAAGTATTGTATTACAGAGTGTTAGTCTTCCTACTCTTAACAAATTGAATCTCCTCTATTGATCCACTTTCTTCTACATCCTTTCTGCAATAAGAAGGTAGCTAAAAAGCTGCATTTTTGGGATGATCTCCAAGGAGAACCAAGATCCTTTGTCAGTTAACTTGTTGAGAGCAAAGTCTGGAACATGTAGGACAAAGTGTAGATATAAATTTTGAATTACTCTTACGCACCTTGTCCTAGCTATTTTTGAGTAATAAGCATCAACAATTTTCACAAATAAGTTTCAAGTGTTGGCTCAATAGTTCTAATACAGGGCTGCATTTTCTGTCATGTGATATGACGCTCTAACATCAATTCAAGGCTTCACTTCTTTTACTAAATGTTAGGCCATAAATGTAGTTCCTTGTGTCAACAACCTTAGTCTCGTCATTGTCTGATGCAGTATCATTTGCATTGTTTCTATCAATATGGAGTTGTCTCTACCTCCTTTAATTATGAGAGAGGAGCAGTAGAGGTTGTAACTTATATGAGAAAGTACAAATAAACCACCAAAAGCAAAGGGATGACCGGCATTTTCTTGATGGCAGATCTCTATTGAGAACTCGAGGTGAACAAATTCTTCTCTCTACAATAGGAATGAAGGTTGAACTAAATCTAGTTGAGTAAAAAATTCAAGCTAGGCTGGATATCAATGACAACAACAATATGATAGAGATAGTGACCAGGTATCTCATGGTAGTTGAAAACATGACTCATGAGGTGGTTGGAGAACAAACAACTTGAACTCGCTATGTTGTCAAATGAAGACTAGGGCATAATTGGCAATGCATAGTAGGATCTACACAAATGCATGAAAAATGATGACAAAGATGGTCTAGCATAGGAAAATTCACGAACAGGAAGATATTAGAACTTGAAGTGGCAATGAGAACTTCGAGTGGCATATGAATGTAGGCAACAACACCAAAGATTCTAGATAGAAAGAATGCAAAAAAGAGATTTTGTTGCTGTCGATGGAGGTGTCATCAAAAGAAGTTGTGTCGGTGGGGAATGACGATGGCAGCTAGGGTTTCAACAACTAGGTTTATGATCGTTATGGTTTTGATGTGATACTATCAAGTTTTTGGAAGAGAATACTATTGAATAACCTGAAGAGCTCTCCAAAGTTCTCTCTCCTCTTTCCTTTCTCTCCCTTCTCATTTAAAAAATCAGCCTTCATCTTGCAGCATCTCTTTTCTTGTGGATTTTGGGTTCAAGATAATTATTCTCATAAGATTTGTTCTTCCAAATAAGATTATCTGCTCGTTTTAGTTCTTATTGACCAGCTTACATCTTTTTTCGCTATGTAAGTGAGTAGTTGCTGGGCTATTAATTCGTTCTTCTGTATATGGTGCAAAGACGAAATTTATTTATTTTTATCTAAGGCTATAAGAACAGGTTTATTAATGTTCCCATTGCTCTGGATCATCTGCGTTGTTTGCTTTGGTTTAAACACTCGTTAATAGATCTTCTACAACTCCCAATTTCAACAACTTTCTTGCTAGAACGCTGTGATGATAGAGAAATAATTGGTTGTCCAAATGTAGATATTTTTCAGGTTGGTTTGTTGGTTTGTTGAATGCATAGTATACCCAATTTTTGGTGGAAGAAAGATGATTCAGGTTCCTGTGGGCTTTGAGAAAAAGGATGGGTTGTTTTTTGGGAACAGTTTCAAGGATTTTTTTGAAGAATTATGAGAAAATCTACCGAGCTTCCCTTGCTTTTGATTAGTAGACAGTTGAGAGAAAATCCTTCTCCAGTAGAAATATGAAGACAGGGAGGATGAACAAACCCTCTATTAGTAGTTATCTAGAGTTAGTAAAAAAGAATTTGAAGGGAAAGCAAAAGTTTGAGAGGTCCGTTGTTGAAACTGCAAATGGACTTTTAAGGAATGCTGTTGTGCAATCTATTTCACATCCTCTTTGGATAAGAAAAGATCATAAGGTGTTTCACCAAAATGTTAGTGAGCTCTTGGTATCTAGACTGTTTACTCCTAATAGTTGGAGGGAGATTAAGGAACTTTGCAAGCACTTTTTAAAGTACCTGTTTTGATTAACCCTTTCATGACAGACAAGACATTGATGAGAATTGAGGAAGGAATATATCTCCAAACGTCAGATTCTTTTGGGAAATGATGATATATGGAGATTTTCCTTTAAAATTAAACAGTGGAGTTTTGACAAACATTCTCATCCAGAAGTTATCGAAGGGTATGGTGGGTGGATTTCCATAAAAAACCACCTTTAACCTATTTGGAACGCAACACTTTCAAAGCCATTGGTGAGTACTTGGGTGGATTGGTCAGTATTTCCTTAAATACTTTAAACTTGCTAAATTTGACTGAGGCTCATATAGAAGATAAAAAGAAATTGTGTGGCTTCTTTCCTTTTTCTATTGAAATCATGTACAATAGAAACATGGAAAAGTTGGTGATATTGACTCTATTGGTCTCGTATGTCCTCCATCGAGAGCCTTTTTTAAAAGAATTTTCAAATCATTTGGATTTATCATGTTTACATCAGGTAATGGTTGATAACGTGGTTATTTCAACGAACGAGCAGAGTAATAATATGGCATTAATGTAGAAGTTAATGAACATTGAAATGCCCATTATATACATGATTAGAATTCTCACGGAGCCCTTAGCATGTAAGATCTGGTCGAACTACTGGTCTCCCTTGTTATCCTAAATGGATTTGATGCTGCCAGCATTGTGGTCTTGAATGGATTAACCGTTTCTCACTCTAAGTCCCAAAAGTAATTTAATTGTTAATGGGACTTTTCCTGTTGTTCTAGATCCAGAACCTTCGCCAAGATTTATTCTCTCTCTCTCTCTCTCGTAAACCATTAGCATTGAGTACTGAGGATGTTGGAAATTGCATAATGGTCGAATCAGCTTTAAATGTTACAATTTTTGTTGAAGGATCGATTAATGCGAGCAAAATTATTTTTTTTTTCTTCCTCGAATGATGCAGTTTTAACATGTTCTAGTTGAAGACTTGATTGATGTGGGACCTACCAGAAAATTCTCTTTAGGCCATGTCGGAACTTTGATTATTCATTTGCCTGTTGAGGCGTTAAGTCCTGAACAAGTTTGAGAAGTGCTGAGCGATTTAGTAAAGCCTATCCATATTATTACTCAGAAGGATTCAACTTCATTTATTTACACTCTCCATGAGAATTCAACTTTCAATGAAGATATTTTAGAGGAACCTTGTTCTCGACTTTAAATAATTGAGCAGATTGTTAAATTTCCTTTAGTTGTTCAAGATGAGTTGCAGACTACAACGCTGTTATTTCAGCTTCCAAATTTTTCCACTAGCATTAAAGAAAAGGTCCCAGAAATTCATTGAAGCCTACCCTATCCATTATTCTCGGAATAAAGGTCCCATTAACCTCCTCCCTCTATAATTGAGAAATTTGGGTTCAATTCAGACACTTCAGAAGAATATTGCTCACACCTCTTCTAACTCCCTTCATCATTGCCATCAAACTCTCTTTAGCAGCGTACACCCACCAAGTCACTTCTTTCAGTCTGTTATTATTCCTCACTGGGTTCAGATGTTGTATTGACAAATGGTGTCCTTACTTCTAATGTAAATAACGACCTTACTTGATTTGTCCCCTTATTGACTTTGAAAGGGAGTCGGTCGTTAGCTTGAGTAGTGTGAAATATGTTTTAATCATTGCATTGACACACCGGTTGGGAACAGAGAAGGAATTTTTTTCTATGGAAGATTATTCAAAATGAGCCTCCTTTGAAATCAGTTGTTGGAAAACCTCAAGTAGTTGTATCGGCAATAAATACCCCTTCAATTCCTGCCAAAATTTCTTCTCTTATAAAGGTATGTGGCCTTCAGTGGCTGACAGATACATCTCCGTCCCCTCTAGTTGAAGCTTAACAGATTTTTGTTGAGATAAGAGTAATGAAGATAATTTCATGGAACACTAGAGGTTTTGAAGATAGATCTAAAAGAGTTTTTTTTTTTCTGGAATTTTTGATTTCGTATCGTTGAGAATTAAGTCTCTTTTCATTTCCTTCAGAAAAAAAGAAAAAAAGAAAAAAACCAGTGCCCTGACTTGGTGTTAATCCAACAAGACAAAAAACAGTAGATTTTGAATCATCAATTGGTCGTCAAATGTCCCATATGATGTGATTGGCTGGATGTCATGCCTCTTCTGTAGTCATCTTTATTCTGTTGATCAAACTAAAGGTTTCTTGTTCATGGTGCCAAGGGTGTGTGTGTTCCTTATTTTCTTATTTTAGTTGCTACTTTTTACTTTCTAAATGATCTTTTTCAAAATTGAGGGATCTTTTTACATATATATATATATATATATATATATATTTTGTTATTTTAGCTTTTGATGGATTTATAACTTTCCTCTGATTACCATGCTAACATGTTATGACAGGACAAAACAACCAACATGGAACCAGGACTTCACTCTTAATGTCAAGGATCCTTCATCTAAGTATATTCAGGTAGCATTAACTTGGGTCAGCCTTCATGCGAACAAATTTTTCTTTCCCATTCCATTTTTAGAAAGTATTTCATAATGTACTTGAAAATAAAGATGTTTTATGTTTGGTACTGCTAGGGAAAGTCTAGAACATTCATTTGTCCATTGCTATGAGTTTATGGGATGCCTACTTTATGCTATTGGGTTCATCATATGCATCCTATCAATTACTTTTTGTCTCAAGTGGTTTGGAGTCCTAGGTCCTACGGAGGGTCTTAGATGAAACTCGAATTAAACCACTAAAGTAATGCCTCATGGCATAAAAAATGCGTACATTCTCGTAATGAAAAGGTAAGTTTGTGGATGGTGCAACTGTTATAGTTGTTGAGAACTGTCATTGCCATCGTTGTTGCAGTTAGTCTTAATCACCATTCTTATCCTCAGTTGCCATTGTTGTGGTTTTTTTTTTTTTTTTTTCGTTTTTCTGGTCTCCCTTTTGCGGGGTTGTCAATGTCCTTGGGTTTTATCTTCTCCTCTATCTTCCCATAACCATCTGCCAGCGTTATCATTGCCTTAGCAGTCACCATTGCCGTCAGTTGTTGCCGTCGTCCTTGTTGCCATCCACAATCATTTTGTTCTCGATGTTGTTTGGGTTTTCTTTTCTCCTACCTGGTTACTCCATTTCTTGCTCTTCGTTCTTCTTTGCCGTCCTCCTCCTTTGCTAGATTCTTTTTTGCTTCAATTTAGATTATTGGTTTGTTGCTTTGGTTGGGTTATTCTTACTTTCAAGTTAGTGTGGTTTGGTTTGCTGCTTAGGTTTGGTTTCGTGAGGTTCTTTGCTTTCCTGGTTGTGTGTTGGTGATCCAAGGCACTTTGTGATGAAGCATAGTAGTTGTTGTATTGACAACAAGTACTTCCATATTTGGTTTGAAGATGAGCATTTCTTCGTTGTAGGTTTGGATCTTAAGCCAGCCATTCTTCTATCTCTCTTACCTTGTTTGGTTTGAACATTCTTTGTTCGAGTTAATGGTGGGTTTGTTGTTTAGAGTTCTTTAAGCGAGTGATGATTTTGGTACCACTGCAATACAGCAGTGTTCTTTCTCCGTAATTGAATGCATCGTGAGACCAATCACAAGTGGAAGGTCATTTCTATGCCTGTTGGCTGTTTTAAGAGGGGTGGTCTTACCTTTTAGGATGGTTTTTATCTCCTAATTTAAGATTTTTTTGTTGAATGTTTCGTCCAAAGTCTAGTTTTCTCCTAGGGTGTTTCCTGTTCAAGTGTTCCAAGTTCTCATGTTGAAAAGATGAAGAAGTGATTGTTTCGGATTGGAGTTCTCTCATGGTGCCTCCAAATTAAATGCACATGATGATTGGAAGGAAATTAAGGAACCATTGAACACCCCTTCAAGGTAACTTTGGTTCTCAACTCTTTTATGGCTGAATAAAGATTTATTACAAATGAATGGTGATAGGATTCTTGGGGGACTTGGCTGTAATGGAAAACGGATTCACATTGGGCTGTAGTGGGAAATGGATTCACATTGGATAAATCCTTCATAAATAGGTTAGGTTAACTCTTTAGATTATATATACTTTAGTGCAACTAATCACATGACCGACCCACTATATTTCACAACATATAAACCATGTCCAAGTATTAAAAAAATTGTAATGGCAAAGGGATCCAGTACCACCATTGTACCACCATTGTAGGAGTAGGTGAGGTATCATTTCTCAAATCTTTACACTAAAAATGCCCTACACATCCCGAAACTATTAATAGTCTCATTCCATACAAAAGCTTACCAATGACAGGCACTGTAGTGTTATTTGTTCATTGTCATGTTGTACTTTTGAGGGTCAAGTTTCAAGTCAAAAGAATGGATTTGCTAAAGAATTAAATAATCTATACTAGCAATTACCAAAACAACAACCAACCTTGCACCTGTGTCATTTCTTAGTGGGTGCAATTTCTTAGTTCATCCAATAAAGATGCGATTTGCATGGGTCATCCCTCATTTAATGCTTTGTGAGTTATGTTCTCAGATTTGTTTCAAGGATTCAAGGATTCGTAGTCTCTTATTTTCATTGTGATACATGTGAATTTGCCAGAGTATGTTTTCTCATTAGTCAAAATAAAAGCTCTACCCTTTTCCATTTGATACATAGTGCTATACGGAGACCCTCAACTGTCCAAATATATTTTGTGCTCGTCGTTTTCTCATATTAATTGATGATTGTACGCGAGTCACGTTGCTATTCATTCTTAAACAAAAATTAGATGTTAGTAATATTATTCTTGCCTTCCATTTAATGATTTAGACCCAATTTTGAGTCAAAATCAAAATATTTTGAAACTGACAATTCTAGAGATTATTTCAATTGAACCTTATACCCATATTTTCGATATCAAGACATTATTCATGTTTCTTTGTGTATTATTACACCACAACAAAATAGAATGTCCGAAAGGAAAAATGGACACTTTTTAAACATCGCTCGAGCATTGCTTTTGCACATAAACATGCCAGAGTGGACAATGCTATAGATTACTTCAATTAAACCTTATCCCAATATTTCTGATATCAAGACATTATCCATTATTCTGTGTAGTATTACACCACAGAAAAATAGAATGGCCGAAAGGAAAAATGGACACCTTTTAAACACCGCTCGAGCATTGTTTTTTGACGGAAACATGTCAAAACTTGCTGGAGAGAGAGTTTTTGCTGCAACTCACATGATTAATCGTCTCCTATCTTGTGTCTTGAATAATCTAAGCCCAATGGAAATCCCCCATCAATTTTATACTCACTTCCAAACATCAAATGGCCTCTCCCCCTACATATTTGGGTACCCCGCCTTTATTCATGTTCATAGTACTTGAAGAGGTAAACTTGATTCGAGAGCAATAAAATGTGTCTTTTTAGGATATTCTTTGTCAACAACCACAAATATTATAGTCCTACATCTACGATGTCTTACACTTTAATTGATGTGACATTCACCAAGCATAAAGTGTTCTTTTCTAAGGCCTCTCTTCGTGAGAGAAGAGATTGAAGAGAGTTTGGGAAATTATTAAACCCTTAGACACACATAACCAATTATTTAGTTCACTACTAATTCTACTTATGACACTCTTACTACGGTAGAGGTACTAATTGAATCATGTGTGTAAGGATCCAATTATCGATACCTTGAATCACAGGTCGCCACGTACACTCGAGAGTAACAAGGGCGGTAAAATTTTCTTTCATAAAATGCGTTAACTACTTCATTTATGAATTTCATAGTAATCGAAATACATGTCCTACCGCGACAGAATTTGTAACTTGCTATCCTCTTGCCTAGCAGGCAAAGATTTACCTCCGTGGAAAGGATGATTCATTCCGATCGACATGAGAGTCCAACTACATTGCATTGCCAGAATCCATGTTGTATATTTGAAAGAGGTTGACCTCCTTGCTTCTCTCATGTTACAATCCTCTTCCCGCCGAGCCCCCTGCAAACTAAACCGACATAAAGTAGTTTAAAGGTAATATCCACGGAGTCAAATCATAACCATTTACAAAAAATACATAAGTTTCGAGCAATAGCATTTAAAATAATAATAAAATGACTAGAAGGAAGACTACTCGATCTAAAGGGCACTCCCAGCAGTAGCATTTAAAATAATAATAAAATGACTAGAAGGAAGACTACTCGATCTAAAGGGCACTCCCAGCAGCTGCATGCTCTGCACGCTCCCGCTGTCAACTGTGGTCTACACTCCATTTAAAAAAAAAAAATAGAACAACATGGAATGAGTATAACTACTCAGTAACCAATCGACTTGTTGGCTCTTAAAAAAAAAAATAGAACAACATGGAATGAGTATAACTACTCAGTAACCAATCGACTTGTTGGCTCTTGTCGGACTTAATCCTATGCATGGAAATTTAGGATATGTGCTCATAACTGTCCCTATCAATAGCCAAACCGTGGCTTGACGCTTGTACCAAACTTTGTAGGCCAAACCGTGGCTTGACACCTGTACCAAACTTTGTAGGTCACTATATAACTAACCCTCAACATACCTCCTTTAAGGAGTACTCGATCCCTCTTAGGTTCACAATCGAGGGGTTTTTTGTTTTTTCTTGGCGGTAGGTTTCACGTATATCTAGGTCCTTCGTCAATCTTTCGCAAAGTGCATCTCGAGTTGTTGTGGCCCATGGAAGGGCTCTAGAGTAATACTCGTAAGTTTGGAGGAGCCTTTTTTGCTCGAAACGGTGACCGTACTCCATACATATCTACCTACTCAACTCTAATCAGTGGGTTTTCCTTAGTGGTGCCAGGCAACATCCAACATCTACATGTTTCTAACATCAGTAAACTATCTATTACTATGCCCTTTCCAGGATGGGATAGTAAACTACCTGCTCATGTACCCTCATCAGGCTAGAACAGTAAAACTACCTGTCACTATGCTCTTTCCAAGATGGGACAGTAAATTATTTGGTCATGTACCCTCATCGCGTTAGAACAGTAAACTACCTGTCTTAGGAATAGTAACTACTTGTTACTTTGCCTTTTCAAGCTAGAACAGTCAAACTACCTTTCACTACGCCACTCAGGCTGGAACAGTAAAAAGGCCATGACTCTCCTCACTAGGCACCACTAATAAGTACTTCAGTAGGATACCCTCTACGACTCTTAAAATCCTCTATGGGTGACAACTAAGCCATATGTAACAAGTAGACCCTAACCTCTATTGGTTAGTTCACGAATAGGAGTTGCGCTCTATTTGTCCCTACAAGGTACTTGGTCAACTTAAGGAGGTTATGGAACTCATGACTAGGTGCTAGGACCAAAATACATGAAACTGTAACTCGTAGCCTTTGAAAACCGTAACTAGCACTCTATGGCACATAGTGATAGTCCAACCCATGACTGGGAAATAATGAGCTATCCAAACCCTAAATCATGCATAATAAGCATATAAAGGCATACAACATGCTCATTAAGTGATCATAATCCAACGTCAGCATACTAGAAAGTACAGAAGTCTAATGATTTATCAGAGTTCACCATCATGTGTGCAGAAGCTATAACTGTAAATAGAATTAAGTGGTAAACGTTCACATTATCTTAGCACAATTATCATGAGACTAGGTCAAACTAGGCTCCTAAACATAATACTCAATCATTGCTCTCATTCCTAATCGACTCCTACCAGTATTTCTTAGAAACTTGCTCCATATGGTTACTTACTTGATTGTAGACTTTTCGAGCTTGTTTCAAGTCTTCGAGCATATTTCAAATTTCTCCAAAATTCATCGGTATGCCCTAAATTAAGTCAAAAGAATAAAAATGGTAAAAATGACTAGCTTCAATTTGACAAAGAGAAGGTTGAGAAACCAACCATTGACTGTACCGTATCTTCTCCAACTAGTGTGGGTGTCATTTTGCATTTCTTCCTCTTTTCTTTTTTTTTTTTTTTTTTTTTTTTTTTTTTTTAATTTTGAAAAAAATCTTTTATTTATTTTCTTAAAATTCCAGGTGGTACAATGTGCTCCACCTCCTTTGCTAAAGTATATGCTAGAAGGAAAGTCATTTTAGAACCAATACAAGTTCAAACACTCGACTATACTCGAAATAAAGGTGCAACATTAGTACCCATAGAACATAGCTCTCAGAAAACCCACTAGACAATGCACAAAATGCCTTATACTCCTGTCGAACTTTATCTCTTTGGAAAGATTAACTCTATCACATGAGAGTTTCATAGTGAGTCTATATTCCATTGTTATACCTAACACGATTTTTGAAGTTTTATCCAAGAGAATGGCAAGATGCTAGGAGAGAAGAAATGCATGCTTTTGAAAAGAATAACACGTTAAAAGTTGTGGATAGGGCAAAAGGAAAAATATAGCTATCACAGTAGAGGACAAGACTGATGGAATGTTGAAGAGGTAGGAGGTAAGGTTAGTAGCTAAGGGATATACTCGAACTTATGGTATAGATGACCATGAAACATTTGCTCCAGTTGCGAAGATGAATACTATGACCTTATTGTTATTCTTGATTGACTTAACTATGCAACTCGCATATGATGTGAAGAATGCATTTTTCACAGAAATCTACATGATTATTCCTCAAGGATTTGAAAGCTCAAGAGGTATAGATTGCATCAAGAATGGCCCCGTATAGATTAATACAATTACCAAGGGCATGGTTTGGAAGATTCACAAAGGTAATGAAAGACTGGGTATAAGCGAAGTTGGGAGAAATTTTTTCATGGGAGGAACTTCATGCATCTCTGAGTCATAAGCTTCCGTAAGATGAGCAATTTTGTACGGAGGGAGGAGGATGAGAAATCTGTCACATTTTTGAAGTAAAGAAACTAGATCTTCAACATACGACTCTTCAAAATCAATATCATCAATTTTATTTTTCGTAGGTTTTAAGACTGATTCCACCCTCTGCTCAAGCTAGTTTCAAATTTAGCATCAAAGTCATCATCACAAAATAAAGGAGATTGAGAAGGTGAAATGTCCTTGGTCGAATGAATGACTCCTTTAGTGAAGACAAAATTTGGACCTGCTGAAGATAGTTCTTTAGCTGGTTGGGTTTGGAAGGAGATGGAGACTGAAAGTTCCTTGTTTATAGCCAAAACCTCAATTTGGAGTCAAGATCCGAAGAATTTGGTAAAATGAAGCATTTTGCTTCATCCTGGGGGTTTTCCTATATTTTCAAGGGAGGTAGACTCGCTCTTCTCCAAGCCACACTTACTAATCTCCCTATATATTATCTTTCACTTTTCAATATGACAAGCAAGATTGGTCAAGATGAGGAGAGATTATTTCAGAATTTTCTATTGAAGGAGGACATCCGGAACATGCATTCATTTTGCGTAGGGAACAAAATTCTTCTCCCCTTGGATAAAGGTGGTCTGGATCTTCATTCTTTGAGGGATAAAATTAGAGGCTTTCTTACAAAACAGATTTCGCGATACAATAATGAAAAGGGTGCTCTATGGAGGAAACTTAATTAGGGTAAATATGCCGAACGCCCCATGTGCAGTGGTCAATGTTAAACACTGCCAATGGCCCTTGGAACCCTGTTATCAAACACCAAACCCTTATTACTCAAAATTAGTCATCATATGGAAGATGAAGCTACAACACTATTTTGGACTACTCTGGTTAACTATCATCCCATTGGTATCCTAATACCCCTTTTATAAAGGCTGTCTAGAAAGGGTGTTGACTATGGTATCTCTTAGTGTAAATCGTCAGCATTGAACACTAAGCGTTGCCAAGGGTTCTGGGCACAACCTCTTGATGTTTTTTGACCTCGTTGTTTTCGATGATATCTCTTGGTGTAAATTCATATAGTGACGCTACCCTTTTAACTACTAGGAAAATCTTTTGTAATTCTTCTGGATTACCCACCCTTTTTGTAAATTCCATACATCAATGAAATTGATTCCTATAAAAAAAAAAAAAAAAAAAAAAAAAAAAAAAAAAAAAAAAAAAAAAAAAAAAAAAAAAAAAAAAAAAAAA